TGCAAAAACGAGTTTACATAACAGGCCTTTGTGTTGTCCCAGATAAGGGGACAGAGTTTCAGTGAGGAGAGTTTCACAATGTTTTAAGAATTTAGAACCAGCTGAGATTTCCTGAGGACAGTGAGTGGGGAGCAATGAGGTGTGGGGAAGGGCACATTCAGACATAATCTAGGGAGGAAAACGGTTAACAGCAGTAATACTAAAATACATCCTAAATACTAAATACTAAATACCTAAATAAATACTAAATACCTAAATACGAAAATACATCCTCAATACTAAAATACAACATTATATTTTTTTATATTATAAATCCTAGGTTTTAAAACAAGAAATAGGTAGTACTGATAGTTTCTTTCCAGAGGGCACTGGGTGGCTTAGAGGATGAAGGAGGAAGGGAGATTTTTTACTGGATACTCTTAAGTTTCCAAATTTGGGGTTTTTTTTTCGAGACAGAGTCTCAAGCCATCGCCCTTAGTAGAATGCCATGGCGTCATAGCTCACAGCAACCTCAAACTCTTGGGCTTAAGCAATTCTCTTGCCTCAGCCCCCCAAGTGGCTGGGACTACAGGCACCCACCACAACGCCCAGCTATTTTTGGTTGCAGTTGCCATTGTTGTTTAGCTGTCCCGGGTTGGGTTCGAACTCTCCACCCTCAGTGTATGTGGCTGGCGCAGTAACCACTGTGCTAGGGGCACCCAGCCATGTTTCCAAATTTTGAAATTTAAGCCATGCCAATAGATTACCTATTCAAACATAATTCAAGAAAATTTTAAACAATTTTAAACACATCTAAAGTTTTTCCAACAAGCCTAAGAAGCAGACAGAATGAAGACCACTAGTCCCATTTCGCAGATGAGGATAGTAAAGTTCCAGGAAGGGAAAACCAATGGCCCAAGGTTGGGGTTGGAAGTAAGACCCAGACCTTCAGACTGAGGACTCCATAGCCTAACAGCAAGACTCAGGTTCACTTTCTTTCTTTTTTTTTTTTTTTGGCCAGGGCCGGGTTTGAACCCACCACCTCTGGCATATGGGGCCAGAGCCCTACCCCTTTGAGCCACAGGTGCCGCCCTCAGATCCACTTTCTTATGCAATCCTTATAGCTAGAGCCAAATGCAGCTGAAAGAGCACAGGACATGATCACCACATACGAGGTCTCAGCACCACAGCATACCCAGCCTGCCTGGAAAGAATCCAGCCGTGGACTATGAAAGTAGTATTAGCAGTAGTTGGATACTTTCCGGACAACCCTCCTATGTGAGCTGTCGGGGGCTATCTAAATGGTCCGGTTAACAGATAAATAACCTGGCTCGGCGCCTGTGGCTCAAGCGGCTAAGGCGCCAGCCACATATACCTAAGGTGGCGGGTTCGAATCCCCAGCACGGGCCCGCCAAGCAACAATGACGGCTGCAACCAAAAAATGGCCGGGCATTGTGGTGGGCGCCTGTAGTCCCAGCTACTTGGGAGGCTGAGGCAGGAGACTCGCTTGAGCCCAGGAGTTGGAGGTTGCTGTGAGTTGTGATGCCATGGCACTCTACCCAGGGGGATAGCTTGAGGCTCTATCTCAAAAAAAAAAAAAAAAAAACTTAAAATTGTTGGGTGTTAACCCTTATATTAAAAATCTTTCTAAAATGCCCAAAGCCACATTCTTTCAGTGAGTACAATGGCCACAACTGCAATTTTCACTAGATTCTTTAACCTTGAGGATCTTAGGGTCACCTTCATGAATTCAGAGATCAGAAAGGTGGTCAATGAGCACTGGGCCACACCCTGGGTTCACATCCTGGTTTTGCTACAGACTTTTAAGTTACCTTAAGTAAGCTGGTCACTTCATTTACCTTGGCCCGAGCTTCATTGTATAAATAAGAATTAAAGGCACATACTGAACACCATGTGTCTGTCGCTGGCCAAATGGGCATCACTGTGTCTTCAAGCAGCTCACTTTCTTTTGAAGGAGACAACAACCAGGTGATTTTAAGTTCTGGTAAGTTCTATGACCTGACACAAATGAGTAATAAGATAGTGGGTCTGGGAGGTCAGGGAATGCCTCTCTGAAGAGGTGCCATTTAATTTACACTGGGATCCAAATGATGAATTATCAGTTACATGTGATCTAGGAGCAGAATATGACAGGCAGGGGACGGATGCAAACGTCCAGAGGCAGGAGTGCACCTGGCCTGTTTAAAGGCCAGAGGGCTTGCCAGGCTGGAGAGCTGGGAGAAGGGGCAGAGGGGAGATGAAGTCAGAAAGGCAGATGGGTCAGAATCTGGATGCTATTCTGGTTGCAATGGAAAGTGAGTATAGAAATAAGGTAATTTAATTAATTTAGCATTTTCAAACTTCTTGGTTTTTATACACAGCAGCAAAACTTTTAATAAAATAACAAGAACTGGCTTCAATATACAACTAGATAAAAGTGGTATTGCTCTGACTGGTAGGGGAAGCTAAAGCCCTCCTGGCCCTCCCCCTTCCTCAACAGCTGTAAGCTCAGAGGAGCTAGAAACCACCAGATGATTGATCTCTAAGGCTCCTCCAACTCTAACAGAACCCCAGCATTACTGTCAAACGCTACAGGAGAGGCGGCTTAGGAGACAAAACTGGAGGACATTTTTGACCCAGGACAAGCCCTCTGAAGACTTTAAATTAAATCCCTCATGTGCACTTGCTTTCTGCAGGAAGAGCAACAATAAAATCTGGTTCATCAAGGGTTCCAGATAAAAATCACATCGCTGAAACTACAGGGACAGACAACAATCGGGATTGACAGGGGAGGGGGAATGAAAGGAGAACTGACTACAAAGGAACAAAAGGAACTTTCTGGGTTGATGGAATATTATCTATCTTGGATGTAGTGGTCACATTTGTCAAATTCACAGGTCTGTGCACCCACAATGGGCATTGTTTACAGTGTACAAATTAAACCTGTCAGAATAAAATCATGCTGCTGGCAGACACTTCAGAGGTATTTTACAGATGAGAAAACAGACAGAGAGGGAAAATGGCTTGCTCCTGCTCAGGCAGGAGACCTAGGAACCCCAGATGGAAGGACAGTGTCCTCCTAAGTTCACTGCAGCTCTGAAGTGGGCTCAGTTTCAGGTTTCCTGACTGCAAGTGAGAAGTTCAATAATTGCCAAAGGCTTTCCCACTCCAACAGGCTGTCATAAGGGACAAACCTCAATGCTTTGTAGTGAAAAAACTAGGGGGGAAATTCCCACCTAGTGTGTGCCCCGTGAGCTGGGGTTAATAATACCCGCTAGCCAGCAGAGAATGCACCTGCAACCCAGCTGGCTCCCAACAGCCTCTCAAGAAACAAACAGCCACTGTGACTCGGAGAGGTATTACCATACCCACATAACTCTTCTGCTCCGAGGCCCACCAGACTACTTCCTAAGAAGGACAATCTGGAGGTTACCACAGGAAAAGAAATAACAAACTGCCTGGCCCTACATTGCATAACCTGTGCTCAGTACACCCTGGGCTCCACTCAGACAGTTATCTCAACAGGTAAACAAGAACCCTGTCCTCTCCCTGACCACCATCAGCCCTGGGCCACCACTCCAGGCACAGGCCACTGACAGACTGTCATAAAGACACCGTGGCTCTTCATGCCTGTATTTTTACACTCCACTGTCCCTGCAGCTGCTGGCATCATCACTGGGCACAGACTCATGCACCGACACACTCCACCCATACCAGCCCTGGGTGGTCCTGAATGACTCAAAGCTGCCTCCTGCACCTCTCTCTTTTCCATCCTACAGAAACCAAAGAGAGTGCTATTTGTTTATTTTTTAAAACAAAACAAAAACCCCTTCAGGCAGGAGTGTCTGCTTCCTGGTCCCATCTACTCTAGAGGTACCCTGGTCACAGAAAGACCCTTGACTTACTTTTTCTCCACTGTGCTGTGGGAAGGAGGCACCACCCAGAAATTATCCCAATTTTACAGACAACAAAGACAAAGAGCTAAGTAGCCCGGACAAAGGCAACTAGGAACAGACCAACAACAGCCCAGAGAGGAACAGCGGCTGCAGGGCCAAGTGACGCCCGCTGCCCTGGTGGACACAGCCCCTGCCCTGTGCTGGCCTGGCCCTGTGCCCCTCAGAGTTGTGAAGATCATGAGGACTTGAAAACGTGAACGAAAGCAAGGATCTCTTACAGCGCTGTTTAGTGAAGTTACTGAGTGCTTTCTGCAAGCTAGAGCAATGCTCTGGCCCGTCTAGGGTCTCTTACCCGATTCGGGAGGACTGATACCTAGGTTACGAAACTGATTTCATTCATTACAAATATTATTTATCAAACCACCGCCAGGACATTGTGGCAACCACATCCTGCTACTTTTACTCAGAGCCATTGCCAAAGCGTGGTCCTCTCCCCCACCTTCCGGTATCTGCGAAGTTTTCAGTTTCCATCAAACTCCCGCTGGGGGAGGGGACCCGTGCAGGCCCCAGACGAAAAAAGTTCCACCACCAGGTCCACAAAGAGACTGCAGGGAGGCGTGGCCAGGCCGGAAATTCTGACAAAAAGTTTTGGCCCTCAGGTCCTAAAAGCAACTACTTCCTGATCCCTCCTCGCCACCGGAGATGTAGCCTTCGGGCCGCGTTCCCTCCCGACGGCAGAGCTGGGGGCTCCAGCTGAGCCGGGAGGGACGTGCTCCCCGCACCCCGCGCGCTCCGCGAGTACCTGCCACCTAACAGTCTCACAGCTGCCCTCGGCCAGCCAAGCTGTTTCGAGCAAAGGCCCCCAGGGGCGTCAGCCCGGGAGGGCAGGGCCTCCTCCTTCACAAAGCCTCGCCCCTCCCCCCAACCCAAAGCCGGGGCCTCTGGACCTGAACCCAGCCCAGACCCCAAGGCCCAGGCCTGCACCGACCGGAGGAAGAGGAAGGAAAGCAAGGATTAGCCAGAAACCTCGGCCCAGTGCGCGGGGTGCGCGCGGCGGCTGGGGTTCCGCTGCCCCCGCCCCGCCTGACGGAGGAGTCTCCCGGGGACCCCGGGCAGGCCTCCCACCTTGACCCGCTTGCCCTGGATGTCCAGCGTCTTCATGGTGAAGTCAACGCCGATGGTGCTTCCTTGGCGCTCCGAGAAGGCGCCGGTCTTGAAGCGCTGCACCACGCACGTCTTGCCCACGCTCGCGTCCCCCACCAGCACCAGCTTGAACAGGAAATCATACTGCTCGTCCGGGTCCCCGGGGCCTGGGCCCGGCCCCGCCATGCCCTTGCGGGAGCAGAAGGACCGGCACTCCGGACGCTGGGGCCAGCCTGGGCTCACCCAAGCCGCGGGCCGAGCTCTGTCCGCTCCAGCCCGGGGGCCGCCTGGCGACGTGGAGCCGCCGCAACACCTGAACAGGCGGCGCCGCGGACCGACAACCTCCGCCCCGCCCCGGCCCGGCGCGGCTCCGCCCCTGCCGGACCCGGAGCCCTGCGGGCGCGGCACCGCCCCGGACTCGCCTAACCCGGCCCTCCGCTCGACTCCCGGCGGGCCCTCGGCTCGCGCCAGGCCAGGCCCGCCCTCGGCACCGCCCCGACTCCGCCCACGGACCCGCCCAGTCCGCTCTGACCCCGCCCCAGAGCAGACTCCTCCTCCCTCCGGCACCGCCCCCACCCAGACTCCGCCCTCGGCCTGTCCCCCACCATCGATACCCCGACACGCCCACACTGGGGATTTTGTGTGGCCCCAAACCACTACCCACTTCAGACCTTTCCTCAGCCCGGAGCACAGGTCCTGTCCGGTGCCGCCCGCCCGCCACCTTCCAGGGGGTTGGCCAGCCTGCCTGGGCTGTCCTACCCGCTACCTCCCAGAGCCACCATCAGGGGCAGGCCCGAGGCAGTGGTGGGGCCCCTGCGCCTGCGGGCCTCGGGCCTCGGGCCTAAAATGGCTTCCTCCAGACTGGATCGCTGGGGAAGGGGACAGGCACTGCAGTGTTCATGCCGACAAGTGAAAATGCAGAGTACCTCTCACAGACGGATGGCAAAGGTGGTAGCATTTTCCCACAGTGAAGAAAGGATAGGCAGGAAGAAAGGAGAAGGGTTCAGCGAGGCCAAAAATTTACAAAACTGGGGAGGATGCCAAAATCCTTGTGGGACAAGGGACCCACTGCGAAAGGCAGCCTCGCAGTGGTTGAAGCAGCTGCCCAGGTGGCTCGGGGTCAGCCAGTGGTTGAAGCAGCTGCCCAGGTGGCTCAGGGTCAGTCAGTGGTTGAAGCAGCTGCCCAGGTGGCTTAGGGTCAGCCAGCTCAGTGAGGCTATGGTCCACTTAGGGGAACTGACCCAGCCAGAAATCACCAAGAAGAAGAACAAGGGAGACTTGAGGGGTGGGGGCGTCTGTGGAAGGGCAGACCAGCACTCCGGAAGTCCAAACATCTGTAAGAAGCTTAAACTAGATCACATAGGACTCATCCCCAAAGGACTTTAGAGCACCCAAGATGGAAGGGGATTGACGGTACCCCCTACCTTCTTCACACAGCCCCCCTTTTTTAGCAGTCTACTCTTTTTTTTTTTTTTTTTTTTTTGAGGCAGAGTCTCACCCAGAGACTGCAGTGGTGTCATCATAGCTCACAGCAATCTCAAACTACTAGGCTCAAGTGATCCTCCTGCCTCTGCCTCCTAAGCAGCTGGGACTACAAGTGCCTGCTACAACACCCAGCTAATTTTTTCTATTTTCAGTAGAGACAAGGTCTCACTCTTGCTTGGACTGGTCTCAAATTTCTCTGCTCAAGTGATTCTCCCACCTCAGCCTCCCAGAGTGCTAAATTACAGGCACGAGCCACCTGTGCTGGCCTCTATTTCTATTTAATTCAATAAACTTGACAAATGTCTACTATAAACCAGGCACTATTCAATAAATAGAGGGCCTTGGTATGTACCAGTGAACAAAAGTGGGCTAAAACTCAAACCCCTGCACCAAGAGCAAGTCCCCCCACACAGCTTCTACTGAAGCCTACTGGTCAGCTTCTCAGGCCAAGTGAGGAAGAGACTGGCTGAGGGAGCAAAAGCAGACCCCATGGCCAAGATTAAAGAGTGGTTTGTTTTGAAACAGTTTGAACTTCAACAGTCCCAGACAGGGAAGCCCAATATGCATTGAAAAGCAAGACATCCACTCAAAAAAAAAAAAAAAGTGCCAGTAGTAGAGGGGCAGTGTGGAGGTGCCAGAAAGAACTGGGTGGTGCTACTCACCTCCCTGTGAACCTTTCTGCTCATTAGCCAAGAGGGGGCTGGGAGGTAGGCTGGGCCTGCTGGCCCTGCAGGTGGGCTACCCGTTTCAGTGCTGTGCAGCCAGTCTGAGCAGGTGGGAAACCCCACCTGTGTCATCTGCAATGTTACAGGGAATGGGGTGGGCACCGGCAGGATGCTAAGAGGGGAGGCAGGTTTTCATCTCATTTATAAATAGCCCTAGAGCAGATGGGGTCAGGAGCTGAGGGTGCAGAGGAAGGAGGACTGGGATGAAGAAGACCACCTAAGGCCTGGGTAACTCATCTTCAAACAAGAGGGAGAGTCAGTTAGACTCACAGGGAGAAGAGGAGGGAAGTCGATGGAAAAGTATCTACGGAAAAGTTGCCTTTTGGGAAACTGTGGGCAGAGCCAAAGCTAATAATAACAGATATTTTTAACCAAAATCTCCTGAAACTGGTTCTGTGGCCTCTGAGTAAAGAGCTCAGCCAAGGTGACCACATCCACACCAGTAGTCACACCCACCCAACCAGCTACCACCCCATCCCAGCTATTTCCGGACCGGGCAGGAGCCCTGCTGAGACAATCCCTCATCTCCCAGGGCTCTCAAGAAGTCTCAGGGTATCTGCCAGGGATACCTGTAGGGTTTTCCTCCATTCTGAGCCTGAATCCTAAGAAGCCATGATGAGACTGGGCAGGGGAGGGCCTTGTGCACAGAAGGCTGGGAGCAGGGGACAGGAGCCCTGGCTTTTTACAGTGGGCCAGGCTCCAGGCACTTGACATTTTTTCCAGGAAGGAGAAATGCCTGATGTCTGAATGCAAGGAGGTGCCCTTGAAGACAAACCCATAACTGGGCCTGAACACAGTCCTAGAGGCTCAGATGTGGGTCAGTCTGTCCTCAGGGCCCTCTGATGCCTCCACCCATACCACAGGACGGCCCTGGGCCTCCACCCATACCAGAGGACTGCCCAGATTGCAAGGCAAACTCAGAGTTTGCCCTGGGTTCAGTCCTGGAGTCTCAAGTAAGGAAACTAAGGCTATGGTCCAGAGGGACTTGCTCAAAGCTGTGGCCACAGAGAATACAGAAGGATGGCTCTGCCCTCACTTCAGCCCCCAGGTGAAGCCTGGGATCAGGTCCCTTCCTTGCTGCCTCAGGGCTGGTGCTTCAGGGGCTCCCCCTGAAGGATGGCAGGATTTTTCAGTGATTCTGCATATCCTGCTGCAGGAAGACGAGGCCCAACAGAGAGAAAGAGCACCCAAACACCCCGTCTATAAGAGGAAGGGCTTTATCCACCAGCCAGGAGCTTCCGGCATAGAATTCCAAATGGCCGCACTCCCCGACTGGCTTGGTCTTTCCCTTTTTATCGACAGTCAAAAAGTTCCACCCCACAGGTACCCTTCTCAGTGGCCAGTGTGAATCAAGCGGGAGATGCTATTCCAGCCCCTATAGAACCACAGGATTTCACAGAAATGGAAATTTCCAAGTTCTAGGAAGTTAAGTTTACAAATTCCCAAGAGCTGAGTCACCATGGCTCACCATGGAGAGGACCCTGCAGGTGTATCCTTGTGGTCTCCTTGAGAAGACCTGTTCTCCTAGACCTCACCATTCTCGGGTATCTCCTCTCAATCCCAGTGCCACTGTCCCCTCAGAGCATTTAACCCAAGAACAAGCTGCAGGCATGGAAGTTTCCCTTTCTTATAAAAATCTTTAAGGGCAGCGTCTATGGCTCAAAGGAGTAGGGCGCTGGCCCCATATGCTAGAGGTGGCAGGTTCAAACCCAGCCCCGGCCAAAAACTGCATTAAAAAAAAAAAAATCTTCAATAAAGGCCAGGCACAGTGGCTCACACCTGTAATCCTAGTACTCTGGAAGGCTGAGGGTGGTGGATTGCCCTTAGCCCTGGAGTTTGAGACCAGCCTGAGCCAGAGGTCAGAGGAAGACCTCCTCTCTAAAAAAAAAGCATTGTGGTGGGCACCTATAGTCCCAGCTACTTGGGAGGCTGAGGCAAGAGGATCACTTAAGCCAAAGCAGCAAAATCAAATTCCTGGCCCCCAAATAAGAGGGAGCAGGACTTAGAGAAGACCAGCACTGGCTGCTGACCCATGGGTGCAGGTCAGGATTGACACATCATCTTGTTTTTTCAAGAGAGGATATGTCTTTTTAGAAAAATTGGGGCTGGGTGCGTTGGCTCATGCCTATAATCCCAGCACTCTGGGAGGCCAAGGCAGGAGGATTACCTGAGCTCACAGGTTCAAGACCAGCTTGAGCAAGAGTGAGACCCTGTCACTAAAAATTAGCTGGGTGTTGTAGTGGGCATCTATAGTTCCAGCTACTTGGGAGGCTGAGGCAAGAGAACTGCTTAAGCCCAAGAGTTTGAGGTTGCTGTGAGCTATGACACCATGGCACTCTACTGAGGGTGACAAAGTGAGACTCCATCTCAAAAAAAAAGAAAGAAAAATTGCATTTTTTAATGTTAGCCACTGATTCCTCTTCCTCCCAAACCACATTAAAAGGTGAAATAAAACATAGGCAGCCAGTTAGCAAATGCTGTTTTATACATTCCAAAATAAAAATAAATGGATTCATACAGTAGCAAAATATTTGTACAAAACTGATGGCTGAAATGTTCAGCACCTAGACAGCCTACCCGGGGGGCCAGGGATAGATCCCTACCCTCAGCACATGAGGTAAGAAAGGATGAGTGAGAAAGGAGCAGGAGACCTCAGGCAGCCAAGGGCAGTGGTCGGGAAGGGACACAGGAGGAAGAGTCTGTCCAGGACACAGTCTTCTGGACTCCAGGGAGAGCCCCAGCTCTGCACTAATATCCCAGGAGCCTTTTGGCTTCTTCACTCTGGGCCTGCAGGGTCTCACTCGCATACTTCTGGAGGAGTTCCATTTTCTTCCTTCGTACAAGAGCCTCCTCAATCTGTGGGCATTAAGAGTAAAGGGCTCATGCCTCACGCCTCAGCAAAGCCCCCCACCCTCTGCCAGAACCCAGCCAGAAGGAAGTCCCTCAGGAGGTCTGATTCAAATACCTAGATGGTCCCCAAGAGTTCAACTCCCTCCCACTGGAAACATTTGAACAACACAAAGTATTTATTGGTTTCATGTCAAGAAGAGAGTCCCGCCCCTCCTGGGCCCTCCACCCTGTTAGGAGAGCAAGGACAGGACCCAGAGTTGCCGGGAGCCCGGCTGCAGTCCTACCTCTTGCTGCGATGGCACAGGCACGTGGGCGATGAACTTCTGCTGCCCGTCATCCCCGCCCTTCTCCTGGCTGCCTTCCTCATCCGACTACAAACAGAACGACCAGAGGTCCCTCAGCAGGAGGCCAGCTAAGTAAGTGCTGGTACCTCTACGAGACATACTACCCTTGGAAGATGGACTACTCTGCAGCTATTTAACAGAAAAAAAAAAAAGGAATGAGGGAGTTCTCTACTCAAGGCACGTTATTAAGTAAAAAAAGAAAATGGGCCAGGTGCCTCCAATCCCAGCACTGTGGGAGGCTGAGGCTGGAGGACGGCCTGAGGTCAGGAGTTGGAAGACCAGGCTGAGTGGCACAGCAAGACCCCATTTGTACAAAAAAATTTTAAATTAGCTTGGTGTGGTGACACATGCCTATCATCTCAGCTACTCAGGAGGCTGAGCCTCGCCTGGGTGATGAAGTGACACTGTCTCAGAAATGAAAAAAAAAAAAAGCAATAGCACCCAGCCCGCAGCACCCGGCTGGGTTTTTCATGAGTCAGGGTCTCAATCTTGCTCAGACAAGCCTCAAACTCCTGAGTTCAAGCAATCCTCCTGCCTCAGCCTCCCATAGTGCTGGAATTACAGGCATGAGCCACCATGCCTGGCTATTTTTTAAATTTTAAATTTAAAAAATGTACCACGTATAGAAAAAAGACCAACGCAGGCTGCATATGAGTCAATACAAACTACTAATAACTAAAGGTACAATGTAGACTTGGAAGTGAGAGAAAGGACTCTTGAGGTGTGTCAGAAGCCCCCTGTTGACAGGCTCTGTGGCAGACCCCCTCCCACAATCAGTCCCCACACTGCTGAGCAGTGTGAGCTGGAATGAGAAGCCTTTGGGGGCACATGCTGTTGGAAGGAGTATAAATTGGTATGATCACTCTGGGAAACTGACTCACGCCTACCCCGAGACCTGGCAATTCTCCTCCTCAGCATGTACACCATGGACGTACTGCAGGAGAACAAGGAAGGTTACGCAGCCCTTGTTGTGTTACAGCCCCACAATGGGCACCGCACAAATCCCCATAGACATCAGACTCAAGAGAGGACAACCTACTCTGTGCAGGCACAGGCAAAACTCATGGGTCAGCAAAGGTCAGGAGAGCTGAGCCCTGGTGCAGAAGCAAGCAACTGGGGCAGAGGTCATGCTCTGCTTTGTCCTGGTACTGGCTGTGTGGCTGCATGAAAACCCAGTGGCCTGCACGCTTAGGCCTTGCGCACTTCTCTGTATCTGGAACAGTGCTCAGCAATGAAAGGAATATATATAGGGTCTCCCAATAGTCACCCCTCAAGTTTCCATACACAGGGAAGATGGGAATTTATAGCTAAATGTACCTTTATTTACAAAATACTCATTATGAATATCTCATTACAAAATTTTACAAAATATTTACAAACTACTTTCTACCTGTTGGCCACCTCTTTGTAAAATGTTATGATGAATACTCTGTAAATAAAGGTACATTTAGCTACAGTTCCCCATTTTCTCTAGATGGGGTAACTCTAGGGATGACTCCTGGGAAACACTGGACTACTGAGGTCCACAGCCAGCTGGATCTCAAGGGCATCATGCTGTTATATAAAGGCCATCTCCAAAGGTGACATATAGTGTGATCTCATTTACAAAACATTCTGAAATGACAAAATCTTAGAGCTGGAGACGGGTTAGGCTTTGCTGCAGTGAGAGATGGTGAGAAAGGTGAGTTGTGTCTGTGAAGAGGCAGCACAGGGGTTTTTGTGTAGAGGGGACAGTTTTGTGATGTGACTACACTTCAGTCACTTGGATCTACGCATGTGATAAAGTGACATGGGACTCAAAGTGCTCGTAACACCAATGTCAACTTCCTGGTTTTGCTGCCACTAGAACGACATAAAGTTGCAAGTACTGGGGGTGATTAGGCAAAAGGCACACAGCATTTCTCTGTGCCACCTTTTTTGTTTTTTGAGACAGAGTTTTACTGTGTCGCCACTGGTAGAATGCTGTGGCATCACAGCTCACAGCAACCTCCTCAGACAAGCCTCAAACTCCTGAGTTCAAGCAATTCTCTTGCCTCAGCCTCCCAAGTAGCTGGGACTACAGGCACCTGCCACAAACCCCACTATTTTTTTGTTGTAGTTGTCATTGTTATTTAGCTGGCCCAGGCTGGGTTCAAAACCCACCAACCTCAGTGTATGTGGCTGGTGCTATAACCACTGTGCTACAGGCACTAAGCCTTTTTTTTTTTTTTAAATTAAGAGTCAGGATTTCACAGTGTTGCCCAGGCTGAAGTGTAGTGGCTATTCACAGATGCAATCACCACACTGCAGCCTCAAACTCCTGGGTTCAAGCCATCTTCCTGCCTTAGCCACCCAAGCTGCTGAGACTATAAGCACATACCACCATGCCCACCTTATACTGTCTTAGCAACTTTCTGCAAATCTATAATTATTTCAAAAGAAAAACAGAAACCATCCTCCAGTGGCTTTCCGCTGCTCTTTCCCAAAATGCAGGCCTGCATATCTGCTCCACTCCTCAGCCTCTGCTCGTACCCTGTACTCACGCTTTCTGCACTTTGCTCCACTGGCCTGTGGTCTTTCCCTCACACCCACCACGGGATCCCCTAGAGCAGTGGTTCTCAACCTTCCTAATGCCGCGGCTCTTTAATACAGTTCCTGTGGGTAGCGAACCACTGCCCTGGAGCGCTCGGTTCCCCTGCTGGCAGATCTGGGCTAGATCTGGGCTGAGGGGTGAACTCCCCAGCAAAGCCTCCACAGGCTGCTCCTGCACCCAGCTGCTGCCTAGGGGCTGCCGTTCATTGTCTCTGCTCACTGACTGCTCCCCCTAGACTGTGAGCCACATGCTGAGCTCTGCACTGGCACAGCCCTGCACCTACCATGAGACCGGCTCACCATAGCTGCTAATCAAACACCTGCTGAGAGCAACGAACGTTTGCATTCCCCCCAGGTTGCTTCAGACCCTTCACTGACCCCTGCTGGTCAGGGAGACCTGAGCAGGAGCCTGAATCCCTAAACCTCTCTAAGCCTGCTTCAGAGATGTCACCGCAAGCTCCTTACATGGCATCACCTGTGTGTGGGTAAAGAAGAGCAAATCAGTTCTCTCTGGACCTATCTGGGCAGCAAGGCTTCCACATGCCAGGCTCTGCAGAAGAGTCTGGGCCTGGAGGTTCTGCCTAAGAGGGAGGGGACCCCAGTTTCCATTAGTAAAACAGGGACATTAGACTATGAAAGAGCTACTGGCACTGCCACTCCAACAGACACAGAGGTCACAGGCTAAAAGTTGCAACGGCAGCCTGTCTCTAAGAAGGAAGGAAGGAAACTCTGGAGTAAAGCACAGGTGATGACACGACAATCTGCTCAGAGCCATTCCCTCCTGAAGCCCCCTGCAAGCCTGTGAAGTGGTCTTCAAGCCACTCCACACACAAGCAAGCTGGGCTTGGAACCCACCTAGTTTCTGTGCCAAACTTCCTCCCTACCACGCTTCATGGCTCAGAGCAGAAGGCAGGGAGCACCTAAGGGGATCAGCTCCAATACCTCCTCCTCGGTGACAGCATAGATGTTGATTTCTTCCTCCTCTTCCTCCTCTTCTTCCTTTTCTCCTCTTGCCAGCCGAGCCTCTCTCTCTGCTTTCCACTTTTCCACTAACTCGGCTCTAACTGAAGACAAAGCAGACCAAGTGCTCTTATTCCAGTGTCTAGACAAACTTTCACACGATGCAGGAAAGGCCATGACGGCCCCTCTGGAAAGGGACATCCTCATTCTGCCCTGGAGAGTGGGAAATGGATGTGGGGGCAGTAGGTCCACAATAGCTGTGGCTTGAAGTTGCTAACAAGGGAGCTTTTCAGGGAACATCCTTGGATCCCCCCAGACCAGCAACCTGACTGGCTTCCCAAGATGCCCACATGAAAATGGAGGAGGCAGGAGCCAGCACGCTGGACAGGAGCTCCGACGCTGGCCAGCTTGCCTCCAGAGTCCCAGCTGGATGTGTCCCCTGGGGATTAGCACTGACATAGTCCTCACTCAGCTGCCATGAGGCTTCACAAGGCGGCCTCTTAAAGGCCTAGCACAGTGTCCAGTGTGGGGGACGGGCTCACACAGCGGCACCTTCTTGCTCTAGCACGGTGTCCGGTGTGGGGGACAGGCTCACACAGCGGCACCTTCTTGCTCTGCATCATTAACCCTCCAGCAGATCTAAAAGCTACTGAAGTGGGCACCATTTCACACCTTCAAGAAAGGCCAGCCTGAATGTGGGTCTTCTGGCTTCCCCAAACTACTACTTCTGGTCCAACATAGCCCTGCCTGTCTTGACCACAAGAGGGTCAGGGGAATTAGCTGACTATTACATCTGAATACCATTAGCTGCAAAGAAAGCCCCTTCTGGCATAAAACACTATTGAAAACCCTGTTTTCAAACGCAAGAACAGAAACCAGATGCCATCTATCGTGAAAAGAAATGCCCAGAGACCTACGTTTCTTTTCATATTCCTGTTCCAAAGGCACAATTACGCCATCATCTTCATCTAGGTAACCGTAGTACTCAAAATCAATCGCCTTCATGAGCTCAGCACGTGTCTTTCTGGGAGGAGGAAGAGCTACAAGAAACAGCAGTAACTTAGCTGAATTCCCAAGTCACAGTCACACTTGAACCAAGCCTGGTTCCCTGAAAATAAGACACTGTCTTATATTTATTTTTTCTCAAGAAGACCCACTAGGGCTTATTTTCAGGGGATGTCTTCCCCCCTCTGCACTGAAATGCATGGTGTGGCTATGCAGATATGCTGCATAGCCACACCCATCACTAGGTCTTATTATCAGGGTAGGGCTTATATTTAACAAATGCATAGAAATCCTGCTAGGGCTTATTGGGGGGTAGGTCTTATTTTCAGGGAAACACAGTAGCACGATGCAGCCATATAGCAAGTATGTTCATGAAAATAACCATGAAATAGTCCCTTCTCCATACCATTCAGAGGATTAAGTGGTGCACCTCTTTCTTAAATCAGAGCTTTGACCCAGTTAGTCCTTTTAAAAGATATTTATCCTAATTAAAAATAAAAACAAACACAAGCTCACAAACCTTTATGGACAGAGACAGGCATCACAGTATTACTTCTTCTTTTTTTTGAAACAGAGTCTCACTTTGTCACCCTGGGTAGAGAGCTTGGCATCATAGCTCACAGCAACTTCAAATTCTCTTGCCTCAGCCTACCAAGTAGCTGGACTACAGGTACCTGCCACAATGCCTGGCTATTTTTAGAGACGGGGTCTTGCTCTTGCTCAGGCTGGTCTCAAAT